AAAAAAAATCCAATTATGCCCTTGCACATAATTGCAGACTGAAAACAGTGTTGAGGGATCTATTTTATGACAGCACTATTCACACAGCAACAGGAATTGCCCAAGAAATTTTCCATCACCTTTTTTTGAATCGCCACTGGCACAGAGAACAAAACCCAACTGCAAAAACAGCAAAGGAAAGAGAGAGCAAAACCTACAAAATGCAGGAGGGTATTTTGCTAGCACCTCTGCCCCTCAAAATATCCTTTTTTCCTTTTGCAAATCCCAATTTTAAGACTTTTAGGCCCTTTGTGTGAAATGCTGTGTGCTTATAAGAAAAACTTAAAAGGCTTAAGCTTAAAGCCTTGGGAAATGAAAATACCAGACAGATGCTCCATCTGTGTAAATTTGTCCAGTAACCCTGATGGTGGGAAGGTGATCCAAACAGGAAAAGCAGGAAAAGAGACCTTGGAGGAGACTCTGCTGCCCTGGATATGAGAAAAAGCAAGCCATAGAGGGTGGCTGTGCCAGCATTCAGGTGAGGCACACTGAGCCTGCAGGTTGTCATGCCCTGGCTTTGGGAAAAATCAGCTGCAGAGGCACCCCGTGGGAATGGGAACAGGAGGAAGTGGCACAGGAACCAGCCTGATGCTTGTCCAGCACACCATTGCATTTTCAGCCTAATTCACTGCTGCCTTTGGAAAGACTCCCCCAGCCCCCAAAATAGCAGTCTGTCTCCTCATCCCAGAAGAGTTTTTTTTCCCTAGTAATTCACGTGCAACCAGTCTATTCTTGAACACCAGACAGGCAGCATTAACACTCCCAGAGACAGAACCCAGCCACGGGACTTGTCTGCACTCACACATTCATTTACTTGGCTCAGGGACCAGTCAGACCTGGGGAAGATGCAAAAACAAGGATCAAAACCAAGTTGGCCTCACACAACACGTGCTGAGTCGCATCTTAAAACAGGGGGCCTGGACCACAGATGCAAAATCTCTTTTATTGTTTGAACCTCTAATTGCAGGGTTTTGAGGGGAATTGCTGCTAGAGACATGGGTATAAATGTGCTGCCCTTTCACTCTTCCTCTGAAGCTCCCAGATACCCAAACCAAGCTGCTGCCAGCTTAGAAAAAACTAACTGGTGGAAGTCATGCTGAAAATGTGTTGCAGGGCACAGCATCCCCACCTCAGTATCCTTAATTACAGAATCATCCTGCTTCTCTGGCCGGGAGGTGCTGATTTTAGCACCCATTTAGCACCTTTCCTGGCTCATCTCTCACAGCAATGCAGATAACACGGGAAAGTGATACCTGCCCTAAGGCTGATTGACATTTCCCATTAGGATAACCTACCTTCCAATGCAAGTGAAAGTTTGTTTGGCTTGAACTGATGGTGAGATTTTCTGTGACAGCTGTTCTTTCATTACAAGACTTTCCCTCCCAAGTCCCAACACCTGCAAATAAACAAGCCATTGCAAAGGCAATTTAAAAAAAGGTTTGACCTTTCAGCCACAAATTTTCTGGCTTTGGTTAGCTACTGCTTTAATCACATCTTATTATTTCATGCTCTGTGAGCTACGTGCCAGATTTTACTTTTAAGGAAGATATGCTGGCATATGTTGTTGCCTAATTGGTGTGTGTGGGAAAATAGTCATTAGGGAAAGCCTACAGAACAGGCTTATTTTTAAAATGAACTTCTGTGTTGTGGGAAAACATATGCCCCACACAAAATCACCAATGCTCAGTAGTGAAATAGCCACACTTACACAGGATGTATACTGCCTGTCGTATACCCAGTTTTAACAACTGTATGTCCTGATATATCCAGGCACAACAAAGCACCTTAAACTCCTGGGGAAAAATCCCCTGCTGGTGTAAGCAGTCCTGCCTCCATTCCCTTCACTGAGGTGTGCTCAGGGCCTGCCTCAGCACCTGTGGCAGGAGCTCAGCTCTCCCTGGCTGCCTTTGGGCTCCAGGACTGGGTAGGTCGCTGGCATGAATCAGCACCTCCCACCAGCAGCCGTGTGGGAGGGAAAATAAAAATGCTGTCAGAGTAAGCAGCAGAGAGGCCATTGATACCAAATGTCCTGGAGCAGCTCCCAGCCGAGGGAACGACTTAACAGCAGCAGGATTCGGCAAGGATGACAAAAGAGCTTGGATCAGGCATTTGTGAAAGGGAATAGAGGCAGCACTCTCAGCCTGCCAGAGCTGGTCCTGGTGTGCATGGGCAGGGGCTCAGTGCCTGCAGCAGCACAGTCACCCTGCTGGGATGCTGGTCCAGCTCAGGTGCAAAACACCCAGCCCAAAGCACACACTCCTCTAACAGACCCTGGGTGGGATTTGGGTCTGGGCAGTGCAGCAGGGAAACCCCTGAGTCATGTCAAGTCCTCACCATGCCCTGTGCTCCTCCTGCTTGGCAAGGAGTGATCAATTTTGGCCTTGCTTGTCCTACCCTATGGGACTGATTCCCCATCTTTTACTTCACTTACACACCTTGCTTGAGGATTTTGTGGGATGTTGTATACACAGAGCCCTGAAAGGTGGTGTAGGTTTTCAGGTGCTGTCCTAAGTTGGGCTCAGAGAGCTGCTGCTCCTTGGCTGTGAGCCTTGAACAAACAGAAGGGAAAAACCCCCTTGGATTTGTTCTGCAGTGTAAGCCCTCAAATGCCTTTGCTAAAGCAGCCTCCACACACAGGGGGATGAAGAGAGGTGTCAGCAGCTGGCTTTGCCAGCAGAGGTGAGAACCACCAGTGCTGGGGAGGCCAACAAGTTGGGGAGACAGGGTGAGCTGAAACCATAGAAATGTCAAAACCAAGCCAAGTGCAAGCCAGGGAGAGAGGAAAGCACTTCACCTCTCAGGAATAAACTCTGTTTCTCAGATTATTGCCCTCAGGCTGGGGGAAAATGGACAGAACATGGGACATTTCTGTGAGGGCTTCATACCACTCTTGGTACTTGCCATGCAAAAAGACTGTCTTTTTACCTTGAGGAAGCCATGGACAGTCATATCCATGATCCACTGGAAATAAGCAGTGCACAGAAGAACTAACTGCTGCACTCCTGATTGTGAGGGGTGCAAACTTCTCAAAAGATTGCATGTTTCAGCAGCACAGAGATTACCATGTCCTCTGCAAGATGCCAGCCAAGATTTGTAGATATGAGTCATAATCCAAATTTTTTCAGCTGCATCCAGTCTGTTCTGCCTACGTTGAACAGTTTCATGCTCTCCTCTGCCAGTATCTCTCTTCATGCTCTTTCAGCAGTCACCTTTTCTCTATTTTGTCATTCCAAGCTTCTTTTCTCTTCCATCAAAACCCAGTAGGGATGTCTCAAACATCAGCAGCAGCAGGTCTCTCCTGAAGAGCAGGAACTTCCTATTTTTCTGCAAGCTTTCTTTGTGGAAATTGCGTGTCTTTGGCTTTTTTTAAATTGGTTTTTTTTTTCTAAAGTCTGAGTAGGAGACCAGCCAGTTTTAGAGCTAACCCAAAGCACTGCCCAATTCATCAACAAACCAAACACAGCAACTAAAGGGAGTCAGATGCCGACCTTTGGTTTCTCAATCTCTCTTCATGAGAGTTTATTTCCTTTAAAATGGCAGCTAAGAGGTTTTGCACAGCAACTACTTTAACGGTGTGGAACAGCATAAACACTGGCAAAAATTAAAAGCAACAACATCTGATTCATACTGAAGACCTTCCTTCTACCCTGTACATCCTTAGCAATATCTCCCTACATCTGTCAACACCAAAGCCCTTGTGGCTGTGACAGATGCATGGGGGTTAAGCAGTGAGAGCTGGCAGAGGGGCCAGGGATGTTACTGTAATTACTGACAGCACACTCAGGAGCACATATGCTTTTTCCAGCTGTGTCTGTGGCTAAACTAGCTGATATTACCATTCTCTATAGTTTTTGCCAGCAGGATGCTTTCATCTGGATTTTGATACACAAGCACCTGTGGGTTTGTTTGCTACTACAGAAATGATGCTGCATCCTCAATTCTTTTTTTTCATTACTCATTAACTTGAGTAATGCTGGGGGAGCAGCTGAAGGTCTACTCCAATATTCTGTGTGCCCTCCAGCACATGTACAACACCTCTGCCATAAAAGCAAGCAAGCAACACACTGAGCAGGACCACCACAAAGCCAAATGTATTGGTTCCATGATGACTCAGGAAACTACACCCAGGCACTTCTAATATAAATCTATGTGCAAAGAGAGATGACATCAAGTCCTAAGACTTTGGCCATAACTTGCAGCCAGCTGGGCCTCCTCCTGCTCTGAATGAAGGCAGCAGCCAAATTTCCATTGCCTTTGCTGGAAACACCTGCAGAGCACAGTGGCTGTGCCAATCTGCCAGGGGCAGCATGGCAGGAATGGCAGCCCCGTGTGGGACTGCAGCAGGCAATGTGGCATGCAGGAACACAAACACCCACTCTGAGATCTGGACAGTGTGGACAGGGAGTGGATGAGAGATCTCAGCAGCTGGACTGGATATCAAATACCAAAACTGGTGTGAGCACTGTGGCTGTACTGGGGTAACCACACTGATACTGACCTTTGAGACCCCAACCACCCTTCCTTTCTTTTTCATTTGCCCATCTGCTGTCATCTTAAACACATCCCTTCTTCTGGCACTCTGTGCTTCCCTGCTCACACCCACGCTGGAGAATGGCCTCCCCAGTTAGCAAACAACATCACTACAGCAAACTGCTGTAAAACAGTGGAAAGGCCAGTGGGTGGAAAATGCACAAAGACATTTATCTGCCTGGCAGAGGCAGTAAAGAAACAAAGAAGCCACCGAGCCGGGAGGCTTCTGAGAGAGAAACCTTAAGTGGCTGTGTGTGGGTTCATTGCTCTGTTGCTGACTGACATCAGCCTCTTTGGGCTCAGAGAGATCCGTTTCGTTTTAAAGGGAACATTCCCCCAGGGATCTCATTAGCACCATCATGAAAGTCAGAAAGGAACTGAAGGTTGTTGGGGGGCGGGATGGTGGGGAGGTAAACAGGACAGAAGCACTGTCACAGAACATACTCAGCTGTATTTTCTCTTTTTCATGCACACACACACTTTTTCAGACAGAATAAATGCCTGGCATTGCAGTCATGAACTACGGGGTTACATGTCTGTAGGTAAAGACACAGAGCTAAGAGGCACCCCGTGGGGGCAAATGTACAGAACAAGATCTTAACTTTCCCTCTGTAGGGCTGGGGCACACCATGCCAAGGTCATTCAAACAGTCTGTCATAGCCAACAGCACTTGGACAGCCATGCCCACCCAAGGGCTGAATTTGGGCTGGACCACTGTTAACCTAGGGTAAGGATGCAGGCCAGTTTAAAAGCCTGGTGGGTATAAATTATCATGTTTGATGTCCCAGCAGCAAACACTGCATGACCCCTCTCAAATAGTCACCACATCCCAAAGCAGTTACACGGATGCTCCTTATGCAGTGCTGCCCTTCAGAGAACAAGGTGCAAGGTCTGGTGTGGGTGAGCCCCTCCATGGAGCAGCTGGTGCTGAAGGTGGTGCTTGGAGAACAATGTCTTTCAAGGAAAGTCACCTCTTTCTGGAGTGAAAGCAAAGCTTTGATGATAGAAACAAACCAATGTCTTGCTCACTTCTCGTGTGACCCATCAGGGCTACATTCTGCCTGCGCGTGTTTCAAGAGGAACTGCAGGATATCATCTGAGAGTCCAGGTATACTCCTCCTGTTTTCCAACAGGACTTCTCCTTCAGCTGGCTTTGAAAAGCAAGCAGAAGGGGGATGGTTTGGAAAGATCTTACATCCATCTCTGTTCAAGACCAACTGTGCCATTTGCAGGCAACGTGACACGTATTTTGTTCCGTCCTTTTGTTCCAACTCTGAAATCTTCTGTGACAGACACCGTGAGGCAGCCTCGTAGGTCGGATCCTTTCTCTCTGGCTGCTTTCTGCAATACATTTTGTAGAAGCCATCCAGAGAGTTCTGGATCCTGGGATCTTCTGCACCATCATGTTCATACATCCATGAGAGCACAGCATCGTTAGGTTCAGAGGGCTCACACAGCCCTGCTTTTGTGTAACATCTCACGTTTGCTTCCTCAGAGCCTTCAGCAGAATAGCCCACAGAAGCTGCAGATGATGGATTGCTCTCTCCTGCAAGCAGAGGATCAATGAAACTCATTAGTCACCAGGTCATCCCTGTGGCAAAGTCTTTTGCTGTCCCCCTCCCACTGCAGTCTGGCAAACAGGCTCTTTGCCTGGCTACTCTCAGTTACGCTTCCAAAGAGGTGGAAATTTGGATCTGCTGCTCCTGGAGACGACAGCTGACCCACAAGGAAGTCTGGTTTGCAGCTGAGACAGTTCTGCATCTGTTTCAGTTTTTTCCCTCATCCCTGGGTCTAATCCTTACTTTTCATAGTTCTCAGTTTTACTCCTACAGCACAACATGCAGTCCTGACCTCCAGCTTTCAGCCAGATTCACAGCCTCCACACCAAGTTCTGATAACTGCTTGGAGTTTCAGAATGAGGGCTGCAAAGGGGGACTCTGTGCTTCCCCATGAAGTCCCACTTTTGTAGCCCCGCTGCATTTAACACTCTCCCCACACCCTGATGGAATTTCTATGGAAAAAATTAATGCAAAGGGCAAGGACTCATTCTTGCCTAGCTCTTCTCCTCCTTCCTTGCTGACCCACATCTCTGGATAACTAACTAATACAGAGCAATTCATTCATATTAATATTATTTATTAATAATTAATTAATAACTAATTAATACCGCACAAGAGGGACACTTGGCAATGACAAGACCAGGATGATCAGCAAGCTTCTAGGAGGAAGAAGTTCCATAAAGAGACCTTGAATTGGGCTCTGGTATCCAGGTAGTGCCTCTGACTGCAATCTCATCTCCAAGCCCACTGCACCAGACCGTTTGCCAAGCACCTGACTCACCGACAAGGAAATTTTCCAGGGCTCAGCCAGAGGTTGCACAGCCGTCATCTGCAAGTTACATAAGCAGGATGCAGGCAGTCAGAAAATAGCTTGGTCTTTTTCTAATTCTGTGAAATGTGAAGCAGAGTGCAGTCCTTCATTTTGGTAGGAGACCATGTTCAAAGAGAGTCTCAGTGTGGTGGCAGAAGGCTGTTTTTCTCTCCTGGTACACAGAGCCACCCTTCCCTTCCTAAGCAGAGACTCATTAACATGAAATCAAGCTGTCTATGCAGCCACACTGTATCTCATCTCTTTCTTCCTGTCCCTGCTTCCTATCTTTGATCTTTCTCCTCAATTGCACCTCATCTCTGATTATGCAATTTTAAATAGAACTTTCCCTCCCCTTGCAATGTGTCACTTCCAGTGCAGTACAAGGAAAAGCTTGGTGGCCTTCTTTTAACAGTGAGCTATAGCATCAGAACAGCAGATCAGAGAACAGGTCCATTTTCCTCAGTAACCTCTCAGCCTATGCTAAGTTAGAACTGAAGCCTCATGCATCTCTGATAATTCAATCAAATGGCACTTGGGCTCACTCCTGTGGCAATTGCAGACCCCTGTGTCGTGCTGGCTTTTTGCTACCTCCTGCTCACAGCCACATTTTGTGACAGAGCAGCAGCTGCCTCCAGCAACACACACCAAGCCTGCAGAGCTCAGGAAAAGAAAAATTCTGTTGGTTTCCTGTCGTCAGGGGAGACTTTAGCAATGCTGCTTTTGCCTTTCTCCTACCATCTTAGTTTGGATATTAGGAAAGTTTTCTCCACTGAAAGGGTTGTCAAGCTCTGGAACAGGCTGCCCAGGGAAGTGGTTGAGTCACCACACCTCAACAACTCACAGTTAAGTGGTGGACCTGGCAGTGTGAGGCTTATGGTTGGGCTCAATGATTTTAAAAGCCCTTTCCAACTCCAGAGATTCTACTGCATTTTATTCCAAGATCAGTATGGCCCATCCTTATGTTAAAGCACACCAAAGACAGACAGTAAGTGCCTCAGGGGCATATTCTGGGGTTTGATTAGTCAGAACATATTCCAATATTATTGTGAGAACAGTTTTCTTTCAGTTACTTATTCAGATTTATGCATCTCTATTTCACAACAGTAGGCCCTATCCTCTTTGTGAATTACTTTTCCAGCAAAGCCTTCTTAAGGCAAGATAGCCAACAGGGTTGGATGCCCCAGCCCTGGGAATGTTCAAAGCCAGGCTGGATAAGGCCTTGAGCAACCTGATCTAGGGTGAGGTGTCCATGGCAGGGCAGTTGGGACTATGTGTTTTTTGAGATCCACTCCAACCCCTTAGCACTCTATGGTTCTATGACATGAAAAGCTGGATGCAGAATTCCCAGAACCAATCTATACTTCACAAAGTGGTGACTTTACTCAGCTTTCCTGACTATTTTCCATTACATTCTCAAACTGTGTGCCAAAATTGATGTTTGAAAATACACCCAAACCTTCTCCTGCCTAAAGGTTATCAGTTAAGGTAGAGATCCTTCCTCGATACCCTCTAAAGAGCTGGTACTGCTGTTGAAAGGTGCAAATCTCCTGAATGATTTATAAACCACAGGGAACAAGCACAGTAGCTGGGTGCCTGCAGGGTCCAGAAAGAGCTTCTCAGCTGGGGCACACGCAGAGCATATGTTGTGGGCCAGCAAAGGTGCTGCTAAAGGCAAAGACAGCAGCCAGCTCATCAATCCCTTGGCCTCTCCATGCACCTGCACCCCTCAGAATAGCTGGGATTCTCTCATAACACACAGCAGTGTTGCTTCAAAGCCTAGACCTCTCTGGCCACCTCCCAGCAGCAGGAAAAATGTAGTTTTATAAATGCCTTTGTAAAATCCTTCCATGGCAAGCTTAGCAACACAGCTGTCACACACCCTTGTGTTGGCTTGGCCCAACACCTACAGGAGTCAAAGCAAAGATGAGCAAGGCTGAAAACTCTCACTCTTTGCCTGCAATAGAATTTCATCACCAGAGAATCTGGCTCATGATTTTTAGTTATTTTCACTCATTTATACTACTGAGTATTAAAGAGGGGGGAAAAAACAGCAATAGAAAAGCCCCCAAAAAACTGAAACAGTCATCATTAATGTCTATTTCATTCTCACATGATGGATAATCATGACTAAGAATGTATATTATTTCATCTTTTCCTCCACTCCATGCTAATTGAAGTTCAGCATTTGCAGCTAATTAGTAAAAGAGCTGGGGGCAGATAAAAGGATATTCTTGTGTTTATAAACCTGCTGATGAAAATTTAAAAGCTCCATCTGGTACAAGCACATAACCCTACTGCCTGAAGCACATAACCAAATCCTGCTTTGAACCTGGGCCACTTCCAGTGAGATAACAATGCAGCAATATTATTATTTACACTTACAGAAAATGTAGCTGTTTGAGTTTCTGTATAAGTGTTTTAAGTTTCTGTTCTTTAAGTTTCTGTTCTGTTCAAGCACAGTGAAGTTCTCAGAGATTGTATCATTTCTCTTATCCCACCAGCCTGTCAGGATCTACCTGTGGTGACTGCAATCATCCAGAAGAAAGAGTCTGTGGTTGCCATGAAGTACTCTAACAAGTAAACACAGATGCTGTCCCTGAGAGTTGCTCCAGCCCTCACCCTGCTCTTCGAAAATTCCTTCTTGCCTCTCCATCAGACATGTCCATATGGCATGGGAAAACTCAAGGAGAGGTGATACTACTTGGACTAGAGCAGAGCACCCATCTGACACCAAACCTGTGCCAATTCACATGAATTCAGGGATGCATCCATCTGCACAGGAGGCAAGAACAGCAGCTAAACTCCCTACATGTATTAAACACTTGACACACTTGATGCACAGAAAAGTATATTTTGTATTTTTTTTCTTTCCACCTGGCTGCTTTCCAGTGGGAGTTCATGTATCATCATGGGAATACAATTCCTCTCTGCTCAGGGAAGAAAGAAGAATTTTTAGGGAGAATTTGGCAGGAGCTCTTTTTACCCCAATCTCACAAAGCACTTTAGCCTGCCAGCAGTCACGCACCTGAGTACTCAGAAATTGCAAATCTAGACATTTGAGGATCAAATTCTATTGCCCTTGCTTGCATTAAGAGCATCTCCTCTGATAACAACAGTTAAAAACCCATGTGTAAGCTGCTGATCACATTCCTTTACATGAGCTGAAACATATTTGCATTGTAAGATTTTTATTACCACATTTAAATTGGAATAGCACCTAAAAGACAAGTATCAAGAAAGTAAGTATCAATCTGCTAAATACTGCACAAACACTTATCACATTGAGTAAATGGTAGATCCTAAAGCCTTTGGTGTACAGTATTGAATAATTGTAGAGATTACAATTTCTCTGCCTTGCAGAAAACAGCTGTTGTCTTCTTGGGCAAAGGCAAAATGAAATTTCCAATGACATTATCATTCAAAAAGACTGTTATGAGCAAAGGAAATTTGTTCCTTGTGGGTATTTAAATTGTGAACTGAAAGTGAAAATAAGAATATTATAAGCCTTGCTACTTTGCTGTCTCCCTGGTGCCACCCAAACCAGCTTTCTCCTGTTGTCATCTGCAGTAGGCTGCAACTCACAAGATGGGATCTGTGCGACTCTGCTTTACACATGACATAACCAGCTATATTCTTCATCCCCCAGCCCACAGGAGTGGCACATGTGGCTATGTCTGACTGCTGAGTGCTGGCCAAGAGCTCTGCTAATGCCCGCTGCTCTGACAGGAGACCTGGAGAAAGTGAGGGTGGGCAAAAGGCAGCAAAAAGGGAGGAATTTGGGGATTGGAGTAGAAAAGGGAGACAGTGGCAGAGGAATAGCACTGGATATGGCCCAGTACTGAGTCAGGCTCTCCGCTTTTTTTCTTCTTTCTGTTGCACATTTGTGGTGTGAAAAGTTGGTGTGGGGGGGCTTCAGTTTGCGTGGAGTAAGACGTAAGCAGTTATTTTAGGGAAGCGTAAAACTCTTCCTTTTCAGTCTAACCCCCTTAGGAATCTGAAATTCAAGAAAAATAAAAAGGCTGGCAAACGGTGAAATGCTCTTGAAATGCAGTATGCAGGCACAGTGCATTCCCCTAGACACTTTTCCAAATGTCACACTGGTATTAAACCCTGCCTTGCTCCGAAAGCTCACATCCAACGCCTGCTGCGCCGAGCTTTTAATACAGCTGGGAAACTCAGCTCAATGAAAGCTTTCAGAGAACACACTGGTTAAACACACTGGATTTAATAAACCACAGAGAAAGTCAGCTACAATATGAACTACAAATTAACACTCCTTATCTGCTGAAGGCCAAGAGATAAACACCGCTGCCACCTCACAGATCTGTTTCTAAGCAACCAGGCCCCACAGGCCAGGGCAACAGGTATGGGCACAAGGAGGAGCACATCATAAACACCATCACTTATAGCTGTGCCTCAAGGGCCTGAGGATGATGACACATCCTCAGCCAGGCCCCAGAGCAGTGGGCTTTGGATATAACTGTCTGTGAACAGCTGCTCTAAGTGGAACAGCACACAGGGACTTCTGTCATTGCAAAGATCGCAGGTGTCTTTGAAGGGATGGGCAGCAACATAACACTAGGGTGCCTGAGATTTCATTTTCACAAAGTAACTCCTTCCCTTGGAGCTCATGAGCATTCTAAAAATACAAACAGCAAATTTAAGAACTCTTCAAATAGGTATACTTAGAGTGGTTTAATTTACATGATTCTCGAGCCACTAAAAAACCCTAAAGCATACTATTTGTCTCAAACACTGCTTAAGATCTTAGGTTAAAGATTCTATTATTCAGGGTAGTCCTTCTTTGAACCATAAATAATAATTTTTAAAAATTTACATAGCTGAAAACATCAACTGTCAATTGAAATTATTATCCAGCAGATGAGGGCATCAAGGGGCTTTATTAAACTGCAATTATCTGCTGCTTTCCTGTTATATACAAAGTCTTGGGAACTCAGTCTGACTCACCATGTCTGCGTAACACTAAAGGCACCAATTTCCCAGAGGAAACTCTGATAAGGCTTCTTGAGCTAATTGCTCAGCTTCTAATTAGGCATTAGGAGAGCACAGGGAAGTGACTGTAAGAACAGCAGCGTGCAAGCTCACATGCACAGACAATGCCGTGCTGGAGCACCCTGTCCTTACCCACAGCCAAACATCTCAATGGGTTTTTGAGCTCTGACAGACAGGATCCAACACCAGCATCCCCAAGCCAAGCCTCTGCCTTCTCTGTTGGTGAAAACCAGAACTGTCCACCCACGTCAAGTCCCTTATCACCACAACCACTGCTCTGCCCACAGGGAAGACTCACCATTTGAATCAGATTTGACTTTTCTTTCCCTGGGAGAGGGAGAACTTTTTGGTAAAATGATGGATTTTTCCTTCTTTTAATCTGCGACTTGTAGTATTGGGTTTTTTTATACATGAAAGGCTCTAATCTAGCCCCAGATCATTCTTGTCTTTAAGCTCATCCTATTTCAGAGTAAAAGTCTGGTGCTTGAAACATATGAGAAACAATCCTGCCTACCTGATTTTCACTGTTTAAGATTTGTAAAAATTTTATAGAGGAAATCTGTGTTCTCTGGTGTCTGAAGAAGCTTCCTCATTTTAGTTACATTGCACAGATGAAGCAAATGATAGGTATTTCTGTTTATACTTTTTTTCCAGCCTAGAAATTGTCAATTCTAGTCTTGTCTATTCTCACTTTTTCCCCAGGTGATTCTGTAGTTAGCTCTTTCTGAGCTGTTAGCCTTCAGACCCAAGAAGCATTTCCTAAGGAACCATATTTTACAAAGAGAGATGAAACTCCAGAATTCAGAAAAGGATTTTCTATGCCCACCTCTTCAGCCAAGAACTGAGAAAGACCCTTGGGAACCTGAGTCATCCAAGGACACCTCTCCTAGAGAGGAAGAGGGTCTGAAGACAACATTCATCATGGCTCTAAGGCAAAAGACAAGCAGGGAGAAATCCTTCTTGTTTCTGGCAAGGCTTTAAAGGAAAAGTACTGAACTTTTAAACATTTTCCTGATTTGGTCATTCAGAACTGAGGAAGTTGTGAGCTGAAATTAAAAGTGGACTTGAAAATCTGTCTGGATGAGAATTAGTGATCATAGACAAGACTAGCAAAAATTAAAAAAAAAAAAAAAAAAAGAATCTGGGAGGGTTATTAAATCCCATTTTTCAGGGTTTAACAAACCCTTTCATAGAGGCAAGAATGGGGCCCAACAGGCAGTACACTGAGTGCTATAAACATCATTTTGAGGATGGGGCTGACATAAAACGAAGAAAACTGCCACTTATTCTGAAATATTCAGTAATGGCCACTGGCAATGACAGGAAACAGCACTAGATTAAAAGTATTATTGAGGAAGTATCCCTCTATTTGCAATTATTGAAAAGAAAACCCAAAGCAATATCCTTTCTTTATATATAAAATATTTTCTCTCTCATTCAGCTACACATTTTCAGCAATCAAGAGGACCAATAATCTTCAGCTAATGCCTTTGGCAAGAATAAGCAGACAGCTCTCACTGGAGATAAATTGCTCAAGTCCCAACATCGGTTTACAAAAATTCTACCTTCTGCATCTCCTTGGAGAGTGATGTTTATGTCAGTTTGCCTGGAAAAACAGGAAATGATGCTATTCATACAGCTAAAATACAATAGAAAGAGCCTGCCATGACAGTGTTTCTTTAATAATAAGAAGAGACTAGAAGACTTAACAACTAGAAGTTGTTTAAATTTGATATAAAATTCAGCAAAAATATTTGCTTTATTTACAGATTGTGTGAACTTGGAAAAGGAAATGGGGTGAGGGGTTGTTCAGTGTACTCTGCCTTCCTTTGCTGTTGCAGCACTTTGAAGTCCAGCTATTAATCTTAACAGCCACAAACACGCACAGAGGTTACACTGAAGAGATCCACGGGCATCTCAGCCCTGTTTCCAACCAGCTCTGCACACCTATGGACACCAGTGATTTGAGAATCACAGGCAGGAATTCAGTTTCTTGACCAAGAAAATACTGCAAAGCAAGGTATTTTTCAAGCATCCCTCTTGACTTATAGGTGAAATTATACTACCTGTAAATACTTTTGAGAACAAAAGAGTTATGACCTGTAATACTGTCATTATTCATCTTCATGGGAAGTCCTGCACTTGGAGACCTGAATCCTGATGTGGAGTTGATGCCTGGGTAGCACAGATGATCTATTGTAAAACAGATGCAGTGGGGAAGGGAAAACACTCCAAAAATGAAAAGAGGTATAAACCAGAATGAAATAAGGCAGAGGAAGGTGAAAACTCAGTTAAATACAATTTTTTTTCTCTATATTTTACTCCTCCAACCTACAGACTGCATGTGTCCTAGGTGCATTTGTGTATTTGTTCAACTTTGTATCAACTTACAATTAGGTTCAGATCTCAGATTGGTGCATGGATTTTCAGGAGTGCTGAAAACACAGATGGTCCTATCAATTTTAAAAGAAGCCATAGAGATTTTAGCTCTGTGGAAAACAGTGCTATCTAAGCTTTAACTTTACTAATTCTTCAGGAGCAGAACACTGCAAATTCTACAGCAGAAGAACAAGAGGGTACCTTGCAGTTATCAGATTTTAAGATCCTGTTCCTTCCTTTTTGTCTAAGGCCAGAAGCACAAGTGTGGGAATACTGCAAGAAATAATTACAGATGGATTGATTCCCTGTAGATGGGAGTGAAACAGCTGAATGTGTGCAGTCTGTACCTCTTCAGATCAAAGGTCTTTACCTCCAGTCAGGATTGATCTTTCACAAAGAACAGGAGAGGAACATTTGCAGAGATGGTTTCCTGAATTTACTTGCAATAAGCTGGCTTTGAAATCATGCTTGTCTATGTCACACTCCTGAAAATATACTGCACATCAGACAAACACAGAAAGGCTTGCTCTTCTTTCAGAGGCAGGAACAGAAAAATGAAAACAACAAAGAAATAATCTCAAAAACACAGGCAAATAGCAGGTACAAAGGCAAAGAAAACTACTGATTTGGTGAAATATTCTGGTGAAAATCTGAAGGCAGAATGAAGCATTTTCCCAGTCTCCCTGCAGGCCTGATGTGGCTGTGAGCACTGAACAGGCTGTGCAGAGATGTGCCAGCCTCCAGTGGCACAGAAAAGAGCAGACCCACATCCTCTCCAGCCATGGAGGCTGTGAGATCACACAGCTCAGGGCTCTCTTCTTCTGCATTGCCAGTGGGACCTTGTGCACCAGACGCTGATTAAAAATGAAAAAACAGACTCAAAATTAAGAATGGAAGCAAGATCCCAATCTCCACCTATCAGTTTTCCACTGGCTAATAAATTAAATAGCCTGACACTGAAAAAATCAGTGTCAGATACATCAAACAGTCATCAAGGAAATTTTCCAGAGACAGAAAACGCAAACTGCACAGACTACAATGAAAAGCAAACAAGATATACAAGTTTAATAACTTGTGAGACATTTTCTCATCACTAGTCTCTGACATTTTGGCTTGCTACTTTAAAGGTGTATATTGAATAAATATTTGAGCCATCTAGTTTTGCTGCAGTATTGCTAAAAATGAGGTAATGAACAGAAATTGGACTAGAGCAATAGGCACATTGATAGACCATTCACAAATGCTGGAGGCTTAAGAACCACAAGGGCTTTTTCTTAATTATCTACATGCTGTTTTGGGAATCACAGAAAATCCCTTCCATCAAAACTAGCTTGTGAGAAAATTGGGCTTTGAACAGAATTGTTTTGCCATTTAATCAACCAGCTTTCTGCAGGAATTGCTCTGTGGCTAATAAACTAAGCACCTGAAAACTGAAATTGGAAATGGTTCTAATGTAAGAAGGATATAGGGAGTGAATCCTCGGGCCCCAGGGCTGTACTTGCCTACCCTACCTTTCCTAGGTGGTGCCATGGCTGTGGTACTCTCTGTGCTGACTGAGCAAACCTGAGCTACAGAGCAGAAAGGGAGAAGGTCCCTGACAAGGAGTATGACTTTAAAAGCTATAAAGAAATAAAAACATTGAGCAAGCAAGTCTCCATCCCCATCATCTCACTCTGTCCTCTCAGCCTGTCACGAGGAAGGCTTGGCAATGCAGGCATTTCCCAGCTTGGCTCTCAAAGGGCAAACAGCAAAAGGTTTCAGTCACTCCAGACTTGTTTACATCCTTTTACCTGGCTCTAAGCCTGCTTTTTATGGAAAACTTCTTAGCCATGAGCAGATCTGGTGGCACCCAGACCTCCCAGTTTCACCCCAAATCAAACAATTCATCCAAATTAATTGCAGACACAACTCTGGGTAAACTATGAACACAAGAGAGAGCTGAAATCCTGTTTACAAAGCAAACAAAATAAAACAAAACCTAGGTTGTCCATCCCATATTATTATCACACAGCACCAGGAAGGCTCTCCTAGGAGGCTGCACACAGGAAAGAGCATGGTGCTGTGTGTGAAGCACTTGCTTAGAGCTTTTTAGCAACTCCTTCAACTACTGACGAACTGTGGTTAGTAATAGTTACTGCAACCAAACACTTGTGAACAGAAAAATTAATTAATTCCTGCAAAATAAGGTGAGTAAAAGGACAGATAAACCAGAGCAAATTAGGGCAATTCCACTCTTCCATTATTAAATGAAACATTTTTCATCCACCTTACACCCTAAGATTGCCTAACTGAAAATACCTACTTCATTCAAAAATAATCGCACAAGTAGCAAGGTAGGGAAAGAGAGAAAACTTTTCCAAACTTAACCCATTTGATATTTGCAGGTATAAATATTTTGATCATTTACAAATTACAAACCACCCTCCAACTATTTTTCAAGGTGATGTGGGAGTCTTTGTATGACTTTTACAGAGCAGGGAGATGAATAATGCTCGTGTTTGTTTAGAATTTGTTCTCTGAGTAGGGGCTAGAGAGACTACAGAAGCAGATATGAACCTGCAAGTTCAGAATTTGTAATTTATTGATCAGACTCCCAAAACTGCACAGCTTTTTTTTTTTTTTTTAAATGTGAAGCAACCAATGTAATTTGGGCATTTAGCAATTCCCATTGCTCTTCTGTCATCCAGATGAGAACACAGGTGCAACCACATTTAAAAATGTCAGTGAATTAATGACACTGATTAGCACTCCTGGTAAACAATAATACAAACATAATTAATAGTGTTAACCATATTAATATGGCAATTCACCTATTCAAAGGAAAAAGCAACTATTTAACATAATGAATTCCTGAAAATTTACATTTTTATTCAGTGATAAAATTGTGTAAGTATGATATGTGTATGACATAAAACAGATCTTTAACAGTAAAGGTAGATTCAATTTTTCAAATAAAAAGGGAAGTTAACACTTCCTTTTATAGGCAATTCCTATATCTAAGTTGGAGATACTCCTGACATCTGTGTTCAGTACAAGCTCAAGTCTCCTGGTTCTTATTTGACACTAGTTGGTGGGTGGGATTTGACAGCCCATATAATTTAGCAGATCACACTTCAGGGTAATCTTCTCTTAACTTTTTTAATATCCCAATAAGTTCACAATCAGCTCAAGAATTTTATTTTAAAAGGCCTAAAGAGTAGATCACATGTGGACAATGTGAGGACAGAAGTAGTTAATTTGTGTTCCACTACCTTGACAACCTGCTACCTTAACCTCTTTCATTTCCTCACAAGCCATCTGAAAGCCTCAGCACCTTTGCAAGAGAACACTTCTGCACAGAATACAGACACCTGAGCTTCTTAAAGAAGGTGTTGCTGCACATACAAGAGCATATCAGAAAATGCTCATATTCAAAAGTGATTTGGACTTGAACATTTTTAAATTACAAAAAAGGTGCCTATGTGCATTTCCCATTAATTAAACTAAGTCAGGAACAGCTGTCAGAAAATAACTTGGCATTCAGGAGATCCCTCAGGTTTGAGGTTCTAAATCCTCTATGTTTATAGCACAGGAGTTTCATATTCCCTCCACTCTACTAACAAATCCACTTCCACATTCTTCCATTTCCCCTTGGCACACTCAGTACTGAAGTTTAGTTGTGACTCTTAAGACAATGGAAAATATACCTGATGCT